AAAACCCTTAGCACAACCAATAGAGTTACACAGGTTGCGTTTACGGATAAACAGAGTCAGTTCAAGCGAATGACCAAAAGAGTTCCGTTCGAATTCGCGGTACTTCTGATATAGCCGTCTGTTTTGTATCCAAGTTTCTTAGAGTCCTAACAATTGCCGTCTTGATCTGTGATGTTTTTAAGCTGTGTGTGAGTGGGCGTAAATGGGGACTTTGAAAGCTCCGGAAAGAGCAAGTGAGAACACGCACAGAGTCGCAGAGAAATCACTTAACTAAAAAGTGAATGTGACAATCAATAAGTCGGTCTCACAGTGAGTGCAAGTCAAACCGCGATTTTCTCCTTCTTTACAATGATTCGTAGGCTACTCCAAGTCTACAATCAATTGAGCGTACTTCCCGATTGTGGATTAGAGAATGGCCAGTTAGGTGGCTCCTAGTGAATAAGTGCCCATTGTTTCCTCTGAATAAGCGGTTGCGGATGGCCAACAGTACCACAAATAAACTAAATCATGAAGATGATCAAGCATTTGGAATACCAATGAGCCAGATTTTTGTCGGTATCGGGAAATTCTTCTTAAAGCAATGGCCTAAGAGGACGATTTGCTTAGATATGCATTGTGTTTATTCGTGAATGAATAATAATGTTATTAAACCAATGAGCTATCAGAAACCCGGATGCAAACGCACTGTATTTGTGCGGTAGCCAGCACACAAACACACACACACACCGAATGACAGGAAAAACTCACATGTGTTGACCACATCGGTAACATTCTTGTACGATTCCGGTGCTTCTTCCATCACCAATTTGGGGGAGGCGACACGAATTGAGATTCCTTTGGCTTGCAGATCTTCCAACACATCAGTATAGTCTAAATTACGACGTGATTTCGCTCGGGATAAAGCTCGACCCTATTTGTAGTACGCCGGGAGGGAAAAGTGCTCAGATTAATGCGGTAGTCAAGAAGAAAACAGTGAAACACATCAGAAGATCAGACATCATCACAAAGCGCAGACAATGAAAGAGATCAAGTGCAGGAACACCACTTAGTCGTATCGTTTGGGGTTTTCCAACCACCCTTTATGTCTGTTGAACCCCGATTGGCCAATCCATTCCAAAAAAATTCAGAAAACAGCTGAGTAACGTTATCGTCTACGGCTTTTGTCGCTGTGTGTTCAGTTCAGTTCAGTTTGTACAACCATTCATCATACACTATCGCGCGCGGGTTTTGGTTGCTGTAGTTTGGCTGCTCATTTGGATGAACATAAGGAGAAAGACAGGAAAAGTTGAAAGTGGGATCGAAGAGAAAATTGAGAATTTCAGTGTTCTAAGGTTGCGAAGAAATTGACAAAATGCACGAACGCCACTGTTTACGACATTCAGCCATATCACTCAGTGTCTCTAACAATCAACAACGATCACTTCGAGATCCCCAGTCAGGGAGCCTAACGGGACCTATGTGACAAGACTACCGGTTCGAGTTTTATACCTTCATGCCAGGTCTTAGCTTGACCACCCTACACTTCATTCCATCCTTTACCTGCCTCGACAAATGTCGTGCTCCGTGGCAACCTGTCTGGTGACATACGTAACACACGTCATCATCGTTCAGCGAAATACAGTGAAACGGACTCCACGGAGCACTGCCAAACTCGCAGTGCATACTAAGTCAGTGGTAATGTGCAAGGTGGACAGGGATTTGACCTATAATTATTATTTTTCCCCTTTTATATTTTTAGAAACTTGAAACATAGGGTCCCCTTTATCCAATTCGTTAGAACCGAAAGAAGACAAATACTGCGAGATGTTAACA